AAAACAGAATCTCAAGTTAGAATCACAAAATTTTCATGTAATTTAAATGACTTCATCAAGAATTTGAATATGCGGGTTCTTTACTTTGTTGTTGAGTAAATAACAAAAACTATCCTCAAGTGTGTCGTGAACTAGAAAAAAAAAAAAAAAAAAGTCGATTGAACTTTTTGAAGCTACCAGCACACTCAGAGGGTTTAACAAATAATCCACTCTCGGGTGTGTAACTTGTAAAGCGTAAACAAACAGGACGTGTGCTTTTAGAAAATTCCCGAGTATTTTTGCCGATCCCTTTTGTACATAAACATTTTTCTTTTTAATCATTTAAATGAGAAAAGATGACAAATACAAACCCGAAATAGTCCTTGGAGCTTGGTCTTGAGTAGCATGTACTCTTGATTTATGTGCTTCAAACATTTCAGGCACCTGAAAGAACTCAGAAAAATATGCAGAAGTTAATGGCTAAGCAGCTTGGATTGTTCTTCAATCGTACGTTCTTAACTATGAAGAATAAGAAATAAAGAGATCACAAAAGGGAATTAACTATTACCCTTCAGCATTTTGCTCAGCACAAAGGTTGCGAAAAGCAATGCATGAGTTCTTCACTCTCAGAGCACCAATGCTGTTGCGCCAAAAGAAAGCAAGAACACCAAGAAAAAATCGTAATGATGCTGATATTTAAATAAAACTCGGTATCATACAATAAAAAAAATGTTAACTTTCGTTCTTTCTTTAGCAGAAGATTCAATTGCCTTCGAGATTTTTCAAAGCTAGCTACCTTTCTCTATCGAACAAATCACATTTCGAGGAACAGAAATAAAATCAGATAAAATCATCGCGGGTTTCTGTTAGAAATCTCCCAATTCACTCGCAAATGGTTCAATCACTGGTCATCAAATTAACATTTCTACACAACTCTCATAACCAATTAAACTCACAAAAACATTCTTCTACAAATATTTGACACCACTATTTTCTAGCAGAGACAAAAAGGAAAAAAAGAAGAGACAAAAAACAAAATTAAAGATCAGATTTTGTTTGCACACACACACACACACACACACATACAGACACACACAAGGATCACCATACCAAGAAATTACAACTAGAACCAAAATTTCACATATTCACCAAGATTTCAAGTCCCAACAGTCTAAATTTGATATATTTTTAGCATCTTTACTTAAAAAGAAAAGAAAAGGCAAAAAAAAAAATAAATAAATAAAAACTTGCTTCATATTATTCTAGCTTTGTTAAAAAAGAACTGATTTTTTTTGCAGACACACACAAGGGTCACCATACCTGGCGCTGCTGCCTTTGAACTGGTGAACATGAGCATCAAGTTTCTTAAAGTCCACACTATGCTCATCTCTGTAACAATATGACCAAAAAACTCAATCTTCCAACTTATTTCTACACACACACACACACACAGAGAGACAGAGAGAGACAGAGAGAGAGAGAGAGAGAGAGAGGGAGAGAGATGGTTCTTACAAAGCCGCAAAGAGTTCATTGAGAAGCCTATCAGAATCATCAAAGAAAAGGGACACAACCTCAACAACAAAATCAGGGTTGGTCTCATCTTGAAGCAGCTGAAGCTGACTAAACTGACCATCCAAAAACCCCTTCAAAAAAAAAAAAAAAAAAAAAAAAA